AACTTAACTGCGAAAGATTTCATAGTATAAGTATAAAATTTTTGAACACGCTACCTTGCAAAATATTTTAACTTTAATCACACATAGTGAACTAGTTTGCATAAAAACGTTAGTTTTGCAAAGTCTTCAATTCAATTTTTTGTCTTTCTAAAGAAACCTAAAGAGACAAATTCACCAAGAAAATGTGAGAGAAAAGATACTTTGATTTTGACAGAAATGGGTGCAATCTCATTTTCTATGAGTGCTAAATATATTTTGATAGTGTATGTAGCCCTTGCTTCTCATCAGATTGTCAACGCCAAGCCAGTCTTGTGCAGCCAGTGTAAGATAGAGCTTCTTACGTGTCTGTCTGCTTATTGCTCTAGAAAGTCTTGTCCTTAGTATTTGGCTCTTGACATGTGCTTGGCAGCTGGATTGTCAAAGAAGGACCCGTGGTTTCCAAATACAGTGAGGGAAGAAAACTGTGAGGATGAGGTAAGTATCTAGTAAGCATTGTCTCCTTGACCCTCATACTTGACAGATAATCATGGTCTCCATTTTACAGAGGAGAAAAGTGAGGCGTGGGGTCATAAATTAGCTTATTAGCTAGCTGTGATTCGAACTCAGACCCTTGCTATCCCCACTGCCCACTCTTCTTCACTCCGCTATTTACACTGAAGCTGAAATGTGCTGGCAGGTAGAAACAAGTACCCATGTTGAAAGTCTTGTTTAATTTAATATCTTCACCTGTTTGTCTCTGGCAGGGAATCGGCTTTTTCATGTGTAAAGAAGCTTACCCACTTCTGCACACTGATGATTATTTCCAGACTTCATGAGTTTCCTAGTTAGGAGACAACTTGCAGATGACCTGCTTGTAACTTAAGGATAAAGAAAATAAGATAAAGAGAGAACCTCTGTGACCTGTGGTGTGTCAGCCCCGCTGCCCACAGCCGGCATCCTGTTATCCCAGGCTCCCTGTCTTCCCCTCCAGAAACCTGCTTGTGAAAGTGAAAATGCTCTGTACCACTCAGTGGCATCCTTGTGCATGTGTGTATACATAAACGTGTAATATCTAGTTCACCACGATATATACATATAGGGTCAGCCCACTGGACGAGCAGGTTGTATGTCAGTGCACTTAACGCACCATCGATGAAAAACGTTCTAAGAGATGCTGTCTGGGCCATCAGAGCCTTTTCCTTGTCATTATTCCCTAAGCAATACAGTTTAACAACCACATATATAGCACTTCTATTGTAATAAGTATTCTATAAGAAAATATACATGGGTTATGGGCAAATATTGTATTTTTTAAAAGGGACTTGAGTATATGTGGATCTTGGTGTCTCTGGGGTGTCCTGAAGTCAGTTCCCCAAAGATACTGGGGGAAAAAAGGATGTATGTATGTGTATGTACATGCATACACATGTGTGCATGCGCACGCGTGTGCACACACACACACACACACATCTTTTCAGAATTCTTGACGTATCTGAGCTTTCTGCCTTAAATAGTTACAGAGAGTTTTCCTATTTATTAGTTATATTACGGATCACATTTCTCTTGCTGGCTAGCTTGCTGTAGTATTTTATCAGTTTTTCATGCTCTCTTTCTCACCCAATTTCTGTTGCTATGTGGGAAAGCACATAATCAAACATGTAAAGCCAGGATTAATACAAAAAACCCAGCCCAGATGAATATTTGAGGAGCTTCAGTAGATAAGATGGAGGTGCTTTTATATGTGGTTTTGTGACTGATTTTAATTTTTAGAAACTGAGTTGTTTCGTTAGTGTTGTTGCTTTTAGTTTTGATTCATTTGTTTTGTTCATTCATTTGTTTGCTTGCTTGTTCTGGGTCATAGCAAGGTTAATGAATAAATCACAACTCAATAAAAATACAAAGGGCTGACTACATTTCCATTATTGCTTTTCCAGTCTAGAACACAGGTTCTATTTTTGCATTGGAATTTAATTTTGGGTATTGTAGGAGTTATGGCTCAAAAATTGGAAGCTTTGAAACACAGCCACAGAAGCCACACTCTGTCGCCAGCCTCTATCTCTTGTTTCACTGGACCCTAATGAGTCATGGGGTGACGTGTAGAGAAAGCCCCGCTATGCCTCGCCTGCATTGCAGCCATTAGCAGAGGTGATGCTTGCCGCATGCCCGGGTGCTGCGGTGATGAAAGAGGGCATCAGAGGAGTTTCTGCGCCTGTCTCATCCAGCCTGGTTTAAACATTAAGCAGATAATACAAGGTTTTAGGACCTGATACCGAGCAAAGCAAAACAGCTTATTCTTCATTGCTGAACACTGTGTCAGATGCATTGAGGGCAAATAGTAACAAAATAGTTATGGTACAATATCTATTTTCATATTTTTGTGCTTTAAATATCTTTATTGTACAGTTAGTGGAGGCATCTGATTATCATTGTGGAATTCTAGAAGCCTGAGTGAAGCCACCTCTTTTGCTACTTGAATTTTCAACTGAGAACCACAACTGAAGGCATTGGCATTCACAGGCATCACAAAGTCATCCTGATTGGTGATAAAGCTTGTTACCAAATTGTTTGTGCAGAGATAAGCTTTAATTTGGAAACGGTCTGAATACACCAGCTCACCCACTGGGGCAGACATCTCTCCATCAGCTGAGTTGGATGTGGGCTTCCAACGAGAAGAAAAAGGATAGGCCTTGTGGCTCGTTTTCATTTCCAGCTCATTCCTGGCTATCTGTTAAGTCACTCAGCTCTCCTGGGGAAGTTTAGGGAGCAAGTTTAGGAGGCAGAAAGAGGCAGAAAAATGAAGATAGTGGTGCTCTCTCCACGGGTTAAGATACATGAAAACAGAGACAAAAGATTCCTGGGTACTAGGGTTCTGCAAGTATGTGACATTTCAAATCCAATATTTGTTGTCCTTTGTATGAAGCAGGCATTGTATGTGTTGTATCGTTTAACCTCAAAATACTTCACCAGCCCCAACCCCAGAGCCACAAGGAACATTTTAAAGGAGTTATTATATTATCATCACAAATGTATGGATGAAGAAACTGATTCTCTACAGAAAATAATTATTTCCTCAAAGTAGCATAGATAATAATTAGAAGGGCTGGTAGACAAATATAGATCAATATTTATATCAAAACTCGTCTCTTCCCTGTATCTAGAGTATCTCATCTTTATAAATTTTTTTTCTTTTTTTTTTTTTTTTTTTTTTTTTTCATTTTTAGGGAAAGATCTACAGGGTGTTTAGGGTCTCACTACTAGATTGGACTCATAGTGATCCGCCTGTTTGCAGCCTCCCAAGTGCTGGGATTACAGGCATACACCACTACGCCCAGTCTCAATCACCATTTCAGTGTGGCCCCGGTGGTGAGGCCAGCCTAGGGATTGAGCACATGTGCCTGCTTGCAGGTGCTTTAATCTGCTGAGCTATTTGGCCCGCCCTCATCTTTATAAATGTGATGCTATTTATTAAAGCATACTAGTTTCCTTAATTGAAAATAATTCTGAAGCTGCGTTGATGGAAATTTTAGGCTGCATAATTCGTTGATAGAAAGTTTAGGTTGTGTTCCTCTTTTAGCTTTTCATGTTGCCATACTTTTAGGCTTACAAAAAAGATGCAAAAGTAACACAGACACCCCAGGCCTGCCTTGCTGGCCCTGCCCCTGGAATGCACTGAGACAGCAATTCAGACTGGGCATGGTGGTGTGTGCCTGCATTCCCAGCTTTAGGGAGGCTGAAAACCGGCGGATCACTGAGTTCAGTCTAGTAGTGAGACCCTGAACACCCTGTAGACCCTTCTCCAAAATACAAAAAAAAAAAAAGCAATACAATTTTCATAGGCCCTATATTCAGCTTTCCATAACTTTAACATCTCACATAATCACAATCCAAGTATCAAACCAGGAAATTGACACTGGTACAATGTTATTGACAAAACTCCAAACTTCACTCAAGTTTCACTGAGTTTTCACAATGGACTGATTTTTTCTAAGCCGGGAATGGCGGTACATTCATATTCTGGGGCTCAGTGGTAAGTCTGACCTACAGTTGGTGAGTGACTGTGGCATGAAGAAATGGGCAGCTGGATTTTAAGTCCAATGCCACTGTTGTTAGGTACTTTTGTGTGTGACTACTTGTCTAGATGTAGAAGGCACCTGAAGAAAGTCTGAAGTTACGATATGAATAAATGATTGAAACAAAGTTCTATGTTAGACCTGTGAGACAAAGCCCACCAGAACGGTGAAAAAAGTTTCAAAGGTAAAGAGAACATAACGAGGGTCTGGGAGATGGCTCAGTAGACTAAGCGCTTCCCTGGTAAGCGCAAGGGCCGGAGTTCGATCCCTGGTTCCGCCAAAAAAAAAAAAAAAAAAAGAACATGACAAGATAAAAAGAGATAGGAGAGACCACTAGTTGAAAATCCATATTAGAGTGTATGTGTGGGGTATGTGTGCATGTATGTATGTGTTTGTGTGTGTGTGTACGTGTGTGTGTGTTTCTTCACATGAGTCAGTGCCTAGGCAAGAGATACAGCACTCGATGCCAGTCTGAACTTGATAATTTCCTGGCAGGCTGTTGAATTTTAATGGTAAACCAAATCATAAAAACCTTCTTGCTTGCAGAAGAATCCAAGAAAATAATTTTAAGCCTTCTGTTTTCTTTCACACTAAGTTCAACAGAGATAACATTAATATAGTGTGAATTTGCTGTGATCATGGTTCCTGACAACTTCAAAACTAAACACACTTTTATCTCAACTTTTATAACCAGAGAGTGTATAACCAGGACAGTAAATACTCAAAGCACAAAATTCTAATTAATACATTAATGAACTCCCAAATGACATTTTTTTCTTGCTGTTTTTTCCGTCTCTGTCAACCAAACTTAAGATGCTAATGTGACAAATTCTAGAAAGCAAGAAAATGGTACTATGCTTAGTTATGACACCTGAGTACAACATTGTTATGAGAACTAATTTTCCACCCAAAGTTCAAATTTCTAAAGTTTTTCATTACTTTATTGTTTAGATGGAAGACGTCATAGCACGCATGCAAGATGAAAAAAATGGAATTCCTATCCGTACTGTCAAAAGCTTTCTTTCCAAGATTCCTAGTGTCTTCTCTGGTAAGTTTGCATTCAGCATAGCTCTATTTCCTTCAGTGCCTTTCACATAACTATCTTCGAAAATGTATTCCAGTCCTTTCCTGTTGAACTCTCTAACTCATTATCAGTAACATTCTTGAATGTGGTATTCTTCATAAATACTCAAAATGGATAAAACAAAACAAGAAACCCAAAGTCATGATCCTGCTTTAACTTAGTTTGTATATACAGGGGAAACAAATATGGAATAAGATAATGCAACAGTGTTCAATAATATTAAAATAAATGTACATGTGTGAAACAACAAATAGATTATACATTGAAGTGAAAATAGTCCAAACATCAAGGAGAAGTCAGAAAAAAGTTCCTGAGCCACAGGGATATGCTGAATTTGAAAGATAAGGAGGAGTTGTATCACACTGGGACCATGGCCACCAATACCTGTGCTTGAAGAATTGAGCAGTGACAAGATTATAGGAGCAGCGAGAAGAGAGAGGGACTTGGGATAGGCTGCGAGAATCTCTGAAACCCAACAAAGGAAGCTGTTGCTGACACATGTGGAATTATGGGGACATTCACCATTTCTGTATAGAATGTTCTGATGAACATTGCTTAGGAGTAATTGGTATTAAGCAAGGTCTGCAGTCATGGTGGTGTGTGTGAGGTCCTTGCAGGAATAGTTTAAATGTCATTGTTCTGAAACCAAACTAAAGGACTAATGAGGGACGAGCATGAGGACTCAGCAGATATGCAGGGGAAAAGAGGGCACAGCCCAACAATTTTGTTTTTAATTGGTAGATGAAGAGCCAAAGGAATCATTACCTAAACTAGGCAAACTACAGATTTGGAAAGAAGTGACCAGAGAAATCCAAGAAAAAATGGGTGGTGAAGAGTTAAACATCTATGCTTCAAATCTGTGAAGCAGGGAAGGCCCGTGGTGTGGAGGCCGAGGCACACCAGGGCATGGCACAGGTTGGGTTCACGAAGAGCCTAGGTCAGACTGGCCAGATCCTTGGTGGCAGTGAGAGATGAAAGAGGAAGGTGAAAGGCGCTGAGCAGGAGTGGGAGGAGCTTGGCAGGATTCCTGTGAATGGGATGGATGGGTCCCCATTAACCAGGACCCAGGAAAGACCAGGACCTAAGAACTTCAACCAAGTAAAGAGGGTGTTGGAATCAGTACTTGAGTGCAAGTTAGCAGGTCCGCGTATTGGGGTTTGAGAGCTGTCTTAAGCTCAGAAGAGAGGGAGCTGTGAACGGGGAGAGCGACAGTAGAATGGTGTCTTGCTCTAACCTCTGGTGTCCTCTTTTCTCTTGCTCCCCTGTATGGCTCCCTTTTTCTAGGTAGTTCTTGCTTTCCTGGGAGTCACCTCTACTTCTGTATCTGTGCCATAATTTCATCTCTGCTTCTCTCATTATACAACTTCCAGGCCATTCTGGCTGCTACATTGCTTCCCTGTCCAATAATCAGTTCAGAGAACATTTGTTACAGACTAAACTGAGGGCTTTTTGCTCAGTACCCTGACAAACCTTGTGTGTTGCCTTTCTGGCAGAAATTAGTTTGCAGCTCCATGCTTTCAAGTTTTCTTATTTTTGTCTGTGTCCCCAGGTAAAGCTAAAATTGCTTACAATCAAGGACCAAGAGAGTAAACTAAGTCTAAGCACAACTATGAAAATATTCTCATTTTGTTGAATCACAAAAAAGGATAAGCTTATTTTCCAGTCTGGGCACATGCACACCAAGTTGCCCATCTGCGTGGAGAACTGTGGCTAATTTACTTATCATGACCTTTTCCATTTCAGGACTCTTTTTGGCAGCATCTAGACCCAAAAATGCTTTGCTGATTGTATTAGAGTGCCCTGAGATTTTGCGTTATATATTATATTGCAGTTAATATATATCTATATATCTATATAT